GGGCACTGGCGCCCAGGAGCAGCTCAGGACCCCGAAGCGCCCTTCGTGCCCCGATGGGTGACCGGCTGCTTCCCCAGCCGCGCTTCTCCACTTGGGCGTGTGCGAGGGTGTCCTTGCATCTCCCTGGAGCCTCTCCCCTCCCAAACCTGTTCCCGACTCCTTCCCGCCTCGTTCCACCCCTTGGGTGCTCATCAGTACCCGCGCCCCTTGGTAGAGGTGCTCTCCAGGAGCCGGGGCGGGTAGAGCGCGGGCACCGCTCCTTAGCGGAGTCTCTTATCGGAGCTGCGCTTGGACATCTTTGAGGGAGACTTGGGAGTCCCCCAGGGTACCCTCGCTGTGAGCCGCAGGCGACACCTGAGCCCGGTGACCTTGCAGCGGTCTTTGCCCGATTATTAACCAGTGTGGATGTCACTCATCCCCCCGCAGGATCAGTGCACCTCCCGGACACGGACGCGACATGGAGACGGTGGTTCGACGCTGCCCATTCCTGTCCCGCGTGCCACAGGCCTTCCTGCAGAAGGCGGGCAAGTCTCTGTTGTTCTATGCCCAGAACTGCCCCAAGATGATGGAAGTGGGGGCCAAGCCGGCCGCCCGGGCCCTGTCGGGCTCAGCAGTGCACTGCCAGCAGGTCAGAGAAACCCCTCCAGCCAGTGAGAGTAAGTGTCCTTGGCGGGGAGGTAGGGTTTGCGTTCACCTTGGACCAGACGCCGCTTAGTCCACAGCGGTGGTGGGGGTTACCCGGTGCCAGGCTCAGTTCTTCCTGTGGATCACCTCGTGTCATTGTCGCCCTAACCCCCAGGGCAGGCGCTTGCAGTTTCCCTGTCTTCAAGGGCCGACCGGTGGCCAGCGTTCCACATCCCAGGTTTCTGGATCCGGGGAGTTGGAGCGTTAGCGCTCGGCAGGGCCTTGTTCATGGAAGTAGAAAGTGGACACGTTCTGTTCCAGCCGTTCCGTCATTAAATATTTGGCCCTTTGGCTTTTTTTTTTTTTTTTTTTTAAGTGAATAGACTCTTTTTAGAGTTGTGTTAGGTTCACAGCAAAATTGAGGGGAAGCTTTTGGCTTTTAAAGTTGTGATTTTTTTTTTTTTCTTCTATTTGGCTTTTTTAAATTATTTTTTATTGTGGTAAAATGTATGTAACAAAACGTATGTACCATCTCAATCAGTTTTTTTAGGTTCTTTTTAAAATTAAAAAAACAAAACCTTTTATCGTCATTTTTACGTGTACAGCTCGGGCATGAAGTGCGTTCACATGGTTATGCAACCTCCGTCTCTAGAACTCTTTTCATCTTGCAAAACTGAAACTTTGTGCCCATTAAACACTAATTCCCACCCCCCTCCCCCAGCCCCTGGCAGACGCCATTCTGCTTTGTCTCTATGAATCTGACTACTCTGGGAACCTCATGTAAGTGGAATCATACGGAATTTGTTAAAGTAGGGTTAACACGGGTATCTTTGTTTTGCATACAATTAAATTTTTTTGTTTTTAATAAAGAGATCAGAGCTGGGCACAGTTTTGGTCTGGCTGTGCCAGGAGAGGATGAGGCCTTTCAGATTCTTAATCCTCGAGAATAATTAGCCTCACAGACCATGTGAGGTGTGTTCTCTAGGTGTGGACCTGTGATAAAGGAATGTCTTTTTCAGTAGAAAGGATTTCATCCTTCGTAGGATTGCTTTTCCTCTTGACCTTTGTTAGGAGTGTTCTTTTTTTTGTTTTGTTAGGAGTGTTTTTTTTTTTTTTTTATTGAACAATCAGTACCCTCTTGTACCTTTGTGTCCCTAGCAGTAGAGGACTAGTTCAGTGACAACAGTGACTTGTCCACTTGATAGGGTACTGTGAACCATCACAAATGACGCTCACAAACTACGAGCTTAGGCAAATATTTAAAGTGAAAAGAGCAGAATAAACGACCATCTACTGAATAATGAAAACTTTTTAAACCTGTACACAGAGAAAAAGAGAATATACCCAAATGTCTACAGTGATTATGGTTTTTGTTTTTTTATAATCAATTTTTTTAACATTGATTTCAGAGAGATGGAGGGAGGGAGGGGTGGGGGTGGGGAGAGAGAGATTGATCAGTTGCCTCCTGCACATGCCCTGAGGGTCGAACCTGACTAAGGCTCGAACCCGAAACCTGGGTGTGTGCCCTGACTGGGAATCGAACCTGCCGTACCTCTCGGTGCACGGACGACCCTCCAACCAACTGAGCCACACCAGCCAGGGCTACAATGGAGTGACAGAACTATTTTTCTAGACTTCCTACATTGAATATGTGTAATGAATGAAGCGAACGTCAAAGCAGTTTTTTAAAACTTTCCTTTATGGAAGATTGTAATAAAAAGTGTATTGTGACACATTACCCAGGTATTGGGAGAGGCTAGCCTGTGACTCACAGGAGTATTCCAGAATGATGAAGAAAGACTTTTCTGGAAAGAAGATGACTTTGCTCACGGGGAGAGGGAAGTCGTAACATTGTAACTAGAAGCCCACTGTGTGAGGTCGGGGACCTTTGATGAGAAAGTGGATGAAGTGTGCACCTGTGACAAAGTAATACCTTGGACCCTGTTAGACAACAATCCAACGACCTTACTGTTAGCCTGATTTCTGTCGCTAAGAAAACCAATAGCATCTGTGGTTAAGACGCAGCAAGCTGCTTTGTCAAGAATCCGTGTAGAAAGTATTAGCAGAGAGGAAATTGCACGAGCACTTTCAGTGACCTTTGAGAGAGTGTTCTCACGAAGCATGCTGAGTGTACTTGGGGTGGGTTTACTGGAAATAATCCAGCTCTGGCACCCGGACTGTCTGAAACTAGAAGATACTGTGTGTCTGAGAGGTAGCTGGCCTGTGCCAGTTAAATCCGCCCAGGAACATTGTTTCCAGTGAGGCAGATGTGCAAACCGCCGCATTAGCAGAACCCGGTGAAAGGAAACTTGTATCTGGGTGGTGGGGGGAGTAAGTACCACATTCATCTTGGGGCGGGAAGAGAAAAAAACAGGTGGTTTTCTTGCGAGGTGTGCAACCAGGTCTGGTGCTTCAGTTTTTCCGTTTCCCTCCCAGCGGACAAAGCTGCCAAAGCCGAGGCCCAGCCGGCTCCGGATGGCACGCAGCTTCCCCCTGGACACCCGGCGCCGGCCCCGAGCCAGGGCGCTGCGAGCAAGTGCCCTTTCCTGGCAGCCCAGATGGGCCAGCAGGGCAGCAGCGTGTTCCGCAAGGCCAGCCTGGAGCTGCAGGAGGACGTGCAGGAGATGCACGCTGTGCGGAAAGGTACCACGTGGCAGGAGCCCGGGCGCGGGAGGAGTCCCCTCGGCCCTGTAGGCCCCTCAGATTTATTTACAAGCTATTACTGGGGTAGTTGTGTAAACACCTTCCTCTTTTAGAGCCAAGAAGGAAGGCCCTTTAGACAGACAGGCTGCATTGCACAATGTGGGACTTTTCTCTCTGGTGTGTGACCAGCTCTTACAGTAACTGCCTGAGTTCTGAAAACACCCGGCGGGCATAAGCTGTTCCCAGCTCCCCTTTGTTTCTTTCCCGTCATCTGGTGGGATGAAAGGTGAAAAACTGTCACTGCAGTAAGTGATGGTCTTGGGGCTCCCAGGCTGTCTGTCCCAGTAATGGTTACTGAGTGGCAGCCTTAATCCCACCGTGGCTTCTCCATGGAGCATCCAAGGTCCTCCAGAAACATCACTAGCAAAAATGATGCATTTGGCCTGAATTGTTTTCTGTGATGAAAACTGAAATTCCGGGTGGGGGTTTGTTGGGTGAAGACATACCAATCAGCTAGAGAGCTTTGGACTTGAACATTGATTAAGGCTGCTGGTAGCTCTGACCTGGCCATTCAGTAACCACAGGGGGAGAGAAGCTTCAGTTACAGCTGACTGTGGTCATGGTGGGTTTCGTCGGCCACTTGTGACGACGTGTCTGGAAGGTACTTTGACTCAGCACGCAATGCCTGTCCCCTTTGCCTCTTGTTACTTTTGTTGCAGAGGTTGCCCAAACCTCCGTGAACCCCAGCGTGATTGGTGTGAAGGCCGACGGAGGGGAGCCGAGCGGTCTGCTGAAGAACTTCCAGGACATCATGCGGAAGCAGAGACCAGAGAGGGTGTCCCATCTGCTCCAGGATAACCTGCCAAAATGTGAGCCTCACTCCTGTTTGCCTGGTGCAGGGGAGAGTTTGGAACTTAAACATGTATCAGACTCGACATCAGAGTGCAGCGAGATGTGGGCTAGAGCCATGCCCCTTGCTTGATGCCAGGAGGTGCTGTTGGCCATCGCGAGTTCAAACCCTGCTGGTACCTTGCCTCCTCTCTCAGCACCTGCCCTCTACACTGGCGCTGTGGCGAACGCTTGACATACACAGTCTCAGGCCCTGGCCAGCGTGGCTCAGTGGTTAGAGCGTTGGCCTGCACACGGAAGGGTCTCAGTTTTGTTTCCGGGTCAAGGCCACATACCTGGGTTGCAGGTTCAGACCCCTGCCCTGGTCAGGGCGTGTGCAGGAGGCAACCAATAGATGTGTCTCTCTCACATCAGTGTTTCTCTCTCTCTCCCTCCCTTCCTCCCTCCTTCCT